TACTAGTAGCTTCTTGTTACTACTAGCGTGGCACTTGTTACTAGTAGTTTCTTGTTACTACTAATAAGGCACCTGTTACTACTAGCGTGGCACTTGTTACTAGTAGTTTCTTGTTACTACTAATAAGGCACTTGTTACTAGAAGCTTCTTGTTACTAGTTGTCAATCATGTCCTGACTTGGGGAACAGAATGGAACGACTGTGAAAACGCTGCATGTTTTGTCGGATGCGGGGCCTCTCTCCAAGCGGCAGTCTGACACATGTGGACCTGAGACGAGCGAGTACAGCCGAAAATGGGACCTGAACTCAGAAAATCTGTAGAGGTAAGAAGCTAGTAGTAACAAGTGCATCGCTACTAGTAACAGGTGCCTTACTAGTAGTAACAAGAAGCTACTAGAAACAAGTGCCTTACTACTAGTAACAATAAGAATTTAATTAGAATTATAACTAAATTAAATTAATAGCAAACATTGTTACTACTAGCAAGGCACTTGTTACTACTAGCGAGGCACTTGTTCCTAGTAGAAATGGGACCTGAACTCAGAAAATCTGTGTGAAATCACTACTAGTAAGGCACTTGTTCCTAGTAGCTTCTTGTTACTACTAGTAAGGCACCTGTTACTACTAGCGTGGCACTTGTTACTACTAGCGAAAATCACAAACATAACTCACAAAGACTCAGTAATCAGTGTGTGGAATCGGTACCAAGACTTCTGAGAGAGATTTTGAACATTGGCTCTTCGGTGTAAGGAGTCACCGTCTACATGCCAAAATCTGTGTCTTTCTTTCTACACAAATGCGTTTTCCTTTAAAGCTACTAGGGGCTCCTGGCCTTTCTACTAGGAGCAAGAAGATACTAGTAACAAAAAGCATCGCTACTAGGAGCAAGAAGCTACCAGGGGATCCGCGAAAAAACAGGAAAGTCACCGCCGATCAGCTGATGAATGAGCTGATGTGTGTCTTTACAAAGCTGCAGGTCAAGGGGCCGAAGGTGTACGAAGGACCAAGGCTTCAGCCTCTTCGTATCCTTAAAGGGCTAAAACCGAATTCCCCAGTGGATTACGGGCACATGCTGGCAAATGGATCTTTGAACTTGGTTTGTCTTTGGACGCTACTAGGGGCTCCTGGCATCGCTACTGGGAGCTTTCTTACTACTAGGAACAAACAAGAAGCCACTAGTAACAAAGGGAGTTGATTGGATTGCAATTTGGTTGCCATCAAACACTGCGTAGGACATTGGTTGCACCTCACCAGAAAATCAACCGACATTTTAGTCTCATCCCACCAAGGCCACCAACAAAAAGGAAAGGAATCTTATCCCTGTAAATCACTGCGGTCTACCGTGCAAAACAGTTGACAGGATCCATGCCAACTCTCTCGGCTTACTCTTCGCGTTTCGCTTGAACAATTTGTTTGGCAACCAACCCGCCAGCCCCGAACTGGCAAATCACTGTTGACTGCTAGCTGCCACATGTTCTTCCTACTCAGTGCTTGCGCACGTTCACCAAACTCAAACCTTCCACAAACCTTAGTTCAACAGCGAGGTTCTTGGGGACATTTGGAAAAACACAGGCTCTTTTACCTGCTTGTTCTTCGCCTCCTTCTTCTACGATTCTTCATTGAAATGCGAACAAAAGAAGAATCCTTCTCTGAAACCAATTCACACGGGGGGCTGTTTGTGAAGGATGGATGGCCAAACTGAGTTTCAACCGATCATTTTTCTACGTACACATATGTCATACGATTGTATACTGTATACAACTGTATACGGTTGTAATTCTATCTGAAACGTTTCCACATGATCAGAAACACAGTGTCCACGGCCACCATCAGCTCCGAGCATCGACCCATCCCTTTGAGGCACCTGGACAAATGCGAAAAAGCTCCTAGTAGCGTTCTCGGTCCTAGTAGCGATGCCCTTTGCTACTAGTAGCAAGAATGCTCGTAGTAGCCAAGCAACCAAGTTTTGGCTCCCAGTAGCCTCCCTGTTCCTAGTAGCGATGCCAGGAGCCCCTAGTAGCTTCTTGCACCTAGTAGTAAGGCACTTGTTTCTAATAGCAAACATTGTTACTACTAGTAAGGCACCTGTTACTAGTAGCGATGCACTTGTTCCTAGTAGCTTCTTGCACCTGGACAAATTCTTCAACATCGTCTGCGTCAAGAAATGCTCACGGCCCAGGCGGCGTTCGCACGCTCGCAGCTGGGGTTGCAATAGCTTTTCGGCCTCGCGCAAGCCTTGGAGCAAGATCTTCCCCATAGTTTGCTTCATTATTTCGATCTTTTCTGTTTTCCTGTAGACCATAGAGCTTTTCCTTTTTCCTTGTTCTTCGTTGCTTTGGACGTACCTACCCCTCACTGTTGCGAGCGACGGTCATCAACTGATCGTTTCCACTGCTGGCTTCCCAGCTCATCGCCTTTGTCGGTCCAAAATACACATGCAAAACGCCCTACTCATTCTTGCGCACCTGCTCTTTTTTTGACATGTTTCGGCTGTGTAATGGTTGTCCCTTGCCTGTCTTCTGTTAGGTGCTATCGTCGTATTGCATTCCTTGATCAAAGGTTTGTGCCAAAGCACATTCTCTACTGTTTCTTGATCTTTAGGTTCAAGGTGGGGAGTGAGAGTCTTGCCTAGTCTACTCCAATTCTTTGGAACATGGCTGGTGTTGCAGCCAAAGTGATCTGCCGACCCCTTTGGTTGTGGAGCGGAGCCAGCGTGATTTCTGATACGTACTTCTGAAAAGGACACCAGTATTGGTATCCCGCACACAATTTCCGCATTTATCATCTTCAAACCATCAATTCTTGAACCTATCGCCCTCTGTTCTTTCAGCTTTGTTTTTTTGTGGGTGCAGGAGTCAAAGGCCCTTTGTGCAACCGATGCCCAATCACAGCTTTTCCTAGAGGGAGTGAACAACTTCAACGGCTAAACTTCGATCAATTAGGTGAAAAGGAACAGCAGTTCTGCACGTTAGATTGCTTGGCAAGAATTGTAGACGTGTCCCAAGTCTGACTTGTCAAACATGCTCAACATTCCCTCAACCAAAAACTACCTTTAATCTTGTGGCATTGGCAGATTTTGGAACTATGATTCCGTTGGAGAGCCGAACTTTATGGGTTGGGTTGAAAGAACAAAACAAATGAAGAACTCAAAACACACATCAGCATTGCCAGTCGTGAAGGTCCAATTTGTTGATTGGATTGGGAAGTTCGACCTGCCTACTCAACATGCTCAATCCAACATGACACATGACCTAGAGATGTTCTACTGGGCCCCGTCCATTTTCCACGTCAACAGTGAGCGGACACATACAGGTCGCACGCAGTATTTTAAACTTGAATACATGGGTAAGAACAAAAGGGACACCATGGTCACACAATGTCCAAAGGGGAAACAAAGCACAAACGACCACAGAAACAGAAAATGACAGAACGCATGCTTGAGTATTCATTTCAAGAGTTCAAACACATGGTTGATATGATATATGGGACATCTCCCGAAACACGAAACTTTAACCTTTGCTCTCTTGTGAGACAAACCTTTCACCGCTGAGAAATGACTGGGGCCAATACATTGGCAACATTCCATCAGCAAACTGTCCAAGGAACGTCCCATGCGCCGCCAGCAGGAGCCCAGGTTGCATGTGGAGGTCAATTGCTCCAGCTGTGAATAGCCGCGAGCACCGCGAGCGCCCACGGCAACGGCACGGCGGTAAAGAAGTTCCGCCTGGTCCAAACGGCCCATGGAGTCCAAAGAAAGCGCCAAGCAATTCAACGACTCCAAGGTGTCACCTTCGAAGCGTGAGATGGCCCACTTGTAGCTTCTAGCTCCTAGTACGCCCAGGAGCCCCGTTTGTAGCTTCTTGTTACTAGTTTCTCCTTTTCTTTCCTTTTCTTGGAAGGAGCAACAACAACGGGTGCCTTTCGATGTTTTGCAAACGCCAACCAATAATTACACATTGAAGGTGATGCTGGGGTGGTGTTTTGGTGGCTTGGGTGTGAGGTGTTTATTGGGTGTGAGGGAAAGTTTCCCCAAAAGTTTAGGAACCAAATGAATACTGCGAGCGCTTCTTCAAGGAAGCTCCCCCCACCTGAGGAAGACGTGTGAGCTGTCCTGCGTGTAGTAGGTAGTAGCTTCTTTAGTCTACTAGTAGGCTAGCCGCTACTTAATTAAGTAGCCACCTACTTAATCAAGTAAGGGAGGAGCATAGGTCGGCCAACAAAAAAGACCTGTTTGCTTGGGCAGTCTGAGATTGAATATGTAGTCCTGACACATAGGAGAAAGTGGGAGAAAGTGCAAGTCAATCAGTTCTCGAACCGCTCGGAACAACACCGAGCAAACCTTTATATGTTCAAGCTCTCCAGAAAAGAGGGAAGGCGCAAGACCTAAACCACTTCTCAGAACATCCCACTTGCACAGGTCATCTCTACCTCTGACATAAAGTTAAGTTTCCCTAAAAGTCTAGGAACCAATTTACTAGTGCGGGAGCTATCCTGCGTCCAGTTATATACTAGAAGCTTACCTCTCTCTTACTTGATTGAGTAGGGGCGCATCTCAAAACACGATGAAAGGAGCCCCTAGTAGCTTCTTGCTCCTAGTAGCGATGCCAGGAGCCCCTAGGAGCGAGCAAACAAACAAGAACATATGCACTGCCCCCCTGCACCCAACTGCCAGGCTCGTCACGATGGTCTTCACCCAATGTGAACTCACGTGCATCCAAGGCCTCTTGGAGGTGTTCCAAAGCCTCCTGATACGGGACGTTTATGCAGTTACTGAAAGTTACCTGCACGGACCTTTGGTTGCATCGTGTTCCCATTGGAAACCAAGTGCTTCCAAACATCTGTAGGTCTTGAACTTCCAAGACATTGCTTGAACAAGAATGATACGACTTTCGAGAACGTTGTTTCCAAGAGGCTATATGGGCCTTCGCCAAAACTACGCTTTTCTTCGGTGGTAAGTACTCTTCAGTAGCAAGAACTATAGCTTGCTGTTCTTCGTTTTAGGGTCTCAAATGGCACAACAACGCAGGGCCACTACTAAAACAACATCCTATTACACAAAAAACAATCCTTGCTGTGAGTGAAGCTAAATATTGATCCTTTTAGCTGGCTATGGGTTGGCAATCTAGGCTTTGGCATGTGGAGTATGGTTCTTTGGGTTGGCAACGAAGGTTCGTCTTGAAGGGCATCATTTCAGTTGAAACAATCACAGGGCCCGTACAGTGAAATTGAAGGTTCCAGGCAGCACGTCTGAAGCATGGATCATGGGTCTGAATGAAGCTCTTTGCACCTTTACGTTGATCCATCAAGACATGCAAGATCCAAGGGCATCGCTACTAGAAACAAGGTTCGCTACTAGGGGCTCCTGGCATCGCTACTAGGAACAATGTTCGCTACTAGGGGCTCCTGGCCGTACTACTAGGAGCAATGTTCGCTACTAGGAGCAAGAGGACGCCAGTGGGTGGTTGGAGCACTGCGCAACTTGCAAACGCGATCGTTGCTCCTCGTGCTTTCCTCGCTCCAGCAGTGCTCGGCCCAGTCGCGCTTTCGCGTCAGTCCAGACCTCAGCATCCTGCGCCTCTGCTACCCGGTGGCGGAGCACCTGCGGTGCAATGTCCTTATCTTTGCAATCCGAGGAAACACACTAACACACCTGTTTGACCAGGACACACGCTTAGATTTTAAATATTTCAACATCTTGAAGCGTGTTTCTGGTCAAGCCTGATTAGTTATACCAATATCCATGGAATCGACAAATTCCCACCTCCATGAGTCGAGCCTGCGCCGCGTGTGCGCAGCTCTCATCCACGTGGAGCACCACACCACAGGCTTCAGCTTCGTTGGTGCGAGTCTGGGACAGATCATAAGCATTCTCTGCGTCGATCAGCATGGGGATGCAGAACCTTAGTGGGGGTTCTCGTCTCCATCCTCAACGGCCACAAGTTTTTCAAAGAACACATGCGCAAAGGGCTGACCAAAGATCCAAAGAACCCAAGCCTTCTTGACAAATCATCTTTCATGAAGGCTTCACTTCGAGCAGAGAGGTCGCCCCGCATCACATTCCGAAAGTTGTTGTCCTAGATTTGGTCTGGATGGACGGGAAGGAAATCACAACGTTCGTTATGGATTCCCTGAATATGGGGCTTCCAGTTCCGGGTCAAAGACATAGGTCAAACACACATGTTCTCTTTTGCCCTTGCCTGAAACAAAACATCTTCCAGGACCTCCCAACAGGAGTTTTTTTGATGCATGGTTCTGGATTTCTGGTCCAACAAAAAACGCCTCTTGGACGGTCCAAGTTTTGAATCAAAAGAAATCAGTTGTCTAGTAGGTTGGAGGCCATTGCTATTAGTAACTTAACAAAAAAACAACATATATTTTTTGAAGTAAATTCAATCAGTTGTCTAAGAGTTCGTCTCTGTCTTTCCACTCATCTGGCGGCTTTGGCAGGCTATACACACCGTGGCCCCACCAGGCTTTGGCGCCTGGACCATTTTTCAGTGCTTCCCAGATCTCGGTCGGCTCTCTCAAAGAGGTGAGGTTCCGAAAGTGATCTGGGTGACCTGTCAGTTGGCGAAACGGCGGCAAAACACTGAAATATTAACAGTGAATAATTGAAGGGTAGGAAAACCAATGGTTCCAAATATTTGGCCCTGTGGTTCTTCACATGGTTCCCGTCCACTTACATGTGGGACTAGCGGTGAACTGAGTGAAGATGCGCATCTCAAAACTGTGTTCTGAATGGGTCCAGTCAAAGGCATAGTTGTCTCAAGAGTTGTCCACCTGTTGAGATGCCAAACCAACGCCTACAATCTACAAGGGATCACCAAAGCGATTGGCAGTTCTTCCCCTGTGAATTCTGCGTTAATTTTACTACAGAAAAACTTGTTGAGAAGGAAAACGACAAAGGCAACCGGGTTGGGCGTCTTAGATGGATACTTTTCCTCAGGTCTGATTTTCCCATTCCAAAATCAACCTTTCAACACTTTGATCGTCTATTCCGCAACCCATCCATGCGCCATATCATTAATCAAAAATCCGTCTGTCATGGCCCACCAACCAGCCCAAGCAAGGTCAAAACAAAGGGCTGGTGTAGTGGAAGTAGACCTTTGGACTCTGCTTGGAGGACAGGTGAAGAGCATCTTTCCAGATAACAATGCCGGTTGGCCGATGAAACCACGCGTGGTCGAACTCACAGCATATCTCATAGTCAGGAGATCGGAAGAGCCCACCATGGCTGTACCTTATGCTTGGCCATTGAGTTGAACAGTTGAACAACACTGCTTGGCCATTTGAATGGAGTATCCCCAAAACTATTAAGTTGGAGACCATTGCTTCTAGGTCGGAGGCCATCGCTGGTAGGTTGGAGGCCAAAGCCATGTGGTCAAGGACACAAATCGTCCTACCGACTATGGACCATCTAAATTAAGCCTGTTTTGGACCGTTTTTCAAAGTCGTCAAACAAAGAATCTTAGAGGTGTTTGGGCACAAGCAAGGACGCTACTAGTAGCTCCTGGCCATACTACTAGTAACAAGACGCTACTAGTAACAAGAGCATCGCTAATAGTAGCTTCTTGCTACTAAAACAATGATGCCCGAAACGGCCCAACATGGACTCAAGTTGGGCCTAGCGTAGGTCTCGCGCGCAAATCGGCAAATCAGAGTCGTGGCTCACAAAGATCTCCAACCCTTTGTGGGTGCCAAATTGATCAAGTTGTCGTTACAAGTATCTCAAGCCAACAAAATGGCCATGCAATTTGCAATCGTATATCCTAGTAGGAACAAGTAGCTACTAGGAGCAAGAACGCTACTAGGGGCTCCTGGCCTTGCTACTAGGAACAAGAAGCTATTAGAAACAAGAATTCAATAGAATTAGTAGAATTAGGCGCTCCTTAGCACGAAGCACATGGAATAGATCTCATGTAGGGCGTTGTAGGATAGGTCAAGCCCACCGAATTCTCCAAGGGCTTTTCAGCATGACTGGTTGGGCATCAATTTTTTCGTTCGGGACAGTGGTTCCAAGTGGACACCCTGTTGAACTGCAAGTTCCCAACGAACAGCTGGGCAGCAAGGTCTCAAAGTACTCCTGAAGACGATCAGTTTCCATGGCGCAACCAATCAAGGAACGAATCAGCCAACGAACGGTTCGATTTGTCTTGGAACATCATGTTGCTGCTGACAAGGATCATTTTGTCATAGATAATATGCCTGGTCTGTCTGTGTGCGTCAAGCCCCAAATTTCATGTGATGGATTTTCATGGTCTAAAACAAGAGAAGCGGCGTGTGGAGGCCTACAGTTTTTCTTTGCCACGTAGGATCCAAGTTTCCTTTTTCCTGCCAAGTTGGAGGTCATCGCTTCTAGGGTGGAGGCCATTGCTCTTAGGTTGGAGCCCATCGCAAGTAGGTTTCTTTCTGCCGAGTTGTTCCAGCAAAGTTTTCATGGCGCATGATGTGATCTCTTCATTGTCCGATGATACTTCTCGGCTGCGCTGGCGGATTGTCATCGAGCCCTGCACCGCTGGCGTGCCCCTCCACATGAAAAGAAGCCTGTCGCAACCTTATAGGAAACTCTTGGGGGTTGGAGGCCATCGCTACTAGGAGCAAGGACGCTATTAGGTGGAGGCCATCGCTATTAGGTTGGAGGCCGTCGCTTCTAGGAGCAAGGACACTACTAGTAGCTATTTGCTACTACCGGTCTACGGCGCCAAACATTGAGATGATAGACCCTGAGCCTTAGGGCGTACAGCTCAAAATCACAGTCTTGGATCAAATGGCCTCGTGAACAGTGAATGGCGACAATTCTGAAAACGACTGGTTTGCCATTGTGAAGCCAGTTGCGATGACAACCTTGGGCTGTGATACTCCCGGACTCCCAGTTGCGCATTAATTAGACTTGCCATCGACGCCGGCTTCTGCGACAAAGAGGTCATCTTGGTAGACATACTACGTCCTACCCCGAATTCTACGAGATGAAGTGCAATTTGCCTTGGAGCATCAAGAGCTCCTTGCTACAAACAAGGATGGCGACATGATCCAAAATGATTGTGGCTTGTTCTTAATGCATTCCACTTCGGATGATTCAGCGCAGAATCAAACTAAGTTGATAAGCATTGCTGAAACCTATATTTATTGGTTCTTGTTTCACTGGGTTTCACTTATCAAGCCTTCCGTCAGATCCGCACACCGCTCAAATTGGTTTCTCTAGACGGGAGCAGAGATGGACGCGGCTTTCGAAGAGCGAAGATGAAAAGAGCGTTCGCTTCTTGTGAAACTTTGACGAAGCTTTCGATTCTCTCTTTCAACACATGCACGGATTCTCGAAAGGGTCTTGTTTAGGTCCAAATATGGGCTTCAACTGAGATCAACAGCTTCAATAGACTGCCATGTCCATTGCCTTTCACATCTTATTCGCTGCCATTTGCTTCGTCGCAATTGGACACTGCTTTGTCCCGTCTTTGTGCGGGCTTAAGTGTCGTGAAACCCGGGACCCAGTGAGTATTGATTGTATATTTGCTGGCAATGTATATTGTACCATCGTGGGGCTCAGAGTTGGAACGGGGAAGTGATATCCTGCAGGATCAAGGGACATCTACATCGCAGGATGAACACCATGATCACGCATAGCAAGATCAACAGGATTCGTTTATCCATTTCACCAACTGCTTGAGCCTCTCAGCACACAGGTTGCGTCTGCACCTGTTTGCTGAACAAATCACCCATGTGTCGATGATCTCTCCATACCAGGCATTTGATTCGGATGTGCAAAAAGGCTTGTAGAGACAAATCAGACTATCGAGCAAAAAACATCTCACTCCCAGATCTTGTTTGGAGAACTCCTTCAAATTAAGCACATTTTTGATATCGCCTTCCCACGAGGTGCTTGATCACTCCAATTTAGTTCTAAACCGTGTCGCCAATCCTTTCACTCGGATTCCAGATTCACCTATGCGAAAGCTGGTGCATATCATATATATATGGCACCCCCCGCCCCCACCACCTACCTCTTCTATGAAAACACTATGTTTTCCAATGTTTCGTGCTGTTCTACCTGCTGACTATTGAAGTGTTTTGTGATTGTTTTTCCTTACAACATACCAAAACTGCTTTGAATGTATGCAGAATTTACCTTTTAACGGTTTTTGTTTTACCTTTTACTCTTCCAATTCTGTGAAGTACACAAAAAGGCATTTTGGTTTTTCGAGAAAACACACAAACAATTATCAGAAACTCTTGGCTGGACCCCCCTCCTTCCCCAAGACTTCCTCAGAATCGTTTTGTTCGGTGTTTTTGGTTTTGAATGGTTTTTTACAAAAGCGAATTTAGCACCAATATATGTTCCATTAAACGGCAAATGTTTGCTTTATGTTTTATTCTTTTGCAATAGAATCGTTGAAACATATTTTATTTTTTCGCAAACATACTTAATTGTTTTTGATTCAGTTTTACTTAAATTTAGAATCTATATTTGTTTTGTGTTACTCTTAAATGGCTCAAGTCATTGTTATGTATGCAGAATTTGTTTCATTCATTAAAATGTGTTTTTTGACATAAGTTTTCAATTTGCTTTTGGCAAGTTTAGCATAGTTTTATTTAGTATTGAATGACAAATAGACGTGCTATATTTTTATGATCTTTTTTGATTTCGCAATTAAATACAGTTGTAATTGCTGTTTAAATAGATTCAGCTTGTTTGCTTTCAATTCTAGTTAACTTCTTTCAGTTCATATGCATATACTTTGGAGCTGATGCTTTATTAAATAGATTTTGTTTGTTTTGTTGACATTAATTTGCATTTGCTTTTGGGAAACATTATTATTGATTAACTATATATATATGGTGCTGTTTTTTAATCGCAATTCAATTTAACTTCTGTTTTTGTTCCCTTTCCGATTTTTGTTTAAGCTAAATACAAAAATTCTATATGTTTTAATTTCTTCTCAAAACATGTTAATATATTTTCAATTCGGTTTATTTGATCAAATGTCACTTGTTACTTCTAATTTGTATCCTTAATTTTGAAAGTGTATTCAGTTCATACTTGAAAAACGGATGTTTAATAAAACACACACACATATATATATATATAGTCTTTTGTTGATGAGACCGTTTTCGTATAGTTTCCCTGAAGCATCTTTGATGGAAGGTCCTGGAAGGTTTTAGAGAGGAAGCCTATCTTGATAAGGGGTGTTGATGGGCAGTTCGACTTTTTAAAAGATCCGAAAGAAACGCTTTTGACATGAAAGCCTTTATCTAGGGCTCAATTTGTTTTTACCAAAAGCATCTTCGATGCTTGGGGTCTCGTTTGGTCTGCCAGCCGGGAACCAAAGGTTCTGTTTGAAGTCTTCCTGTTTGCGTATGTTTCGCTTCAAAGCCTTTTCGCGAAAGCTCTGTGAGTTATGTCTCGGACGGACTGCGCTGCTTCCATTTTCCTAATGTTATCATGTCTGTGACCGGAAAGAGACATGGGGGCTCCAGTGGGTGACCCGCAGTGAGTCTGTTCGCGACTTGCAGGCGACGGCTCAGTCACAGCTCAAAGCGCTGCGCTTTGGGCAGGGTCAGTCTGCCCTGAAAGTCTCCAAGGTGAATGTGGTTTGGCTGTTGTTTGTGGTAGAGTTGATGTTTGGGTTCCCAGAGGCGGGGTCAGGAAGCAATGGTGGCTCCAAGAAATAGGCGCAAACAAAAGCAAAAACACCTTTATCCTGGGGGCGTTTGCAAATCACAGAGACATATGTCGGGTTGATTGGCGCCACATGGATATCTGTCATACAGTATTACCATATTGTTGCCACGCTCTCAATTCACCCGTCCCAAGGATATTTTTCTGGCTTTCCCCTGAAAAGGACCAAAATTGACTGCAAGCCCACAGGTGTTTCTTGTTCACCGGCGTTGGTCGACTCCAGCGTGTGTGTGGTGGATGTGGACGCTGGTGCTGTGGAGCTGCGGTTCTGCAACTGTATGTGGTGCAGCGGGGGGGAGCGAGCATTGGATGCGGACGCTGCGGACGACCACGTGGTGCCCGTATCGCGCCGGATCGCTGTCGGTTCGCGGATCAAGCCCCAACAACATCTCTGTCACGTTGCACTGTGTCCAGCTTATGTCAAGGGCTCCTTTGGATGGCTCTCCCGGTTGATCCAATTCATGGAGACTGTCATGAAAAAGAGCGGCTGGAGTTTGGAACGTCTCAGTGTCGCTGAAAATATTTTGTGGTGTTTGCTTTTGGGTTCCCGGGCTCACCTTGTTTTGACATTAACTTGCATTTGCGTTTAGACAACATTCTTCATATAGAAGTGATCATTCCCAAGGACCCAAAGGACAGCTAGCTTTTGAAATGCAAATGTTAGATAAAGCTTTTTGATATAGAAGTGATCTGGGGCCAACATCTGATAAAACCACACAGAAGGTAGGTGCAAGCCGGGGGGATAGCATAATACATATATATATATATGCGACACGTTTTTTGAAGGGGAGTAGGCCATAGTTGGTATCTAGTAGGAAAAGGTAAGTAGCAGCTGAAGTAGCTCCTAGGCTCCAATGCAGTCACTATTCATGTGATTCAGGAACACCTGGTAAGCAACCAAACCCATAGAGGGCCTTGGTTTTTGGAAGCCCCTGGCATCTGGTGTGTGTGTGTGTGAAACCTTCTACCTAGGAGCTTCCCATTGCTAGTAGCGTGTTTGACTCAATGAAAGGCGGAAAAAAACAGAGAAAGGACCTCACCAAGGACGCTACTAGGGGCTCCTGGCCTTACTACTAGGAGCAAGAAGCTACGAACGGAGCAAAGGGCATCGCTACGAACCGAGCAATCGGAGACGAGTCGTTGAACCGTTCGACTCGCGCCTTGGAGTGAGAAGTCGGACTGTCAAGCGACCAGTCCCGCAGCCTCTCGTGCATCCTGGCTCTTCTTCTTGACGAAGTCCAACAAATCCTCCCTGTGAACGGACAGAATGAATTCGGTTTCGAAAAAATCCAAGTCTTGTTTGGTTTTGGCTCTGAAAGAATGGATGAACACGATTACAAACAGGAAAGGAAGCTGGCTGCATAACTTTCGATATGCTGCAAACTGCTGCAAGCTTTTGCAGGAGTGTGAAAGTCACAACCTATCTTTATATAGTCACTATAGTCCAAATCGAAGGAGGGCTGACAATGACCCGGTGGGACGGGGAACAAACTACTTTCGTCCTAGAAATGGTGGAGGGATAATGAACACATGTGGTAAAATGGAAACAGATCGTTCGCAGTGCGCAGGCCTGGTGAAGAAGTCACCGGCAAAGCAAAGGATGTTGTCTGGCTTGTATTCCAAGACCTGCTCAAGACTCGCTATTGGATCACAAAATCGCAGAGTTTCATTTTCCCGACTTAACGTCTAGAACACAAGCACAAAATAGGGTTGAATGGCCTTTTAAAACGCAACACTAAGAACAGCTTGAGTGTAGAACCCATCTGCAGTCGAGCTGAGAAACCAAGCTGTCTCTTCGTGAGCTGTGTGGAACGGTCTTTCATCCCTGAAGAAGCAAAGTTACCACGTCAGCAAGTTACCATGCTTCAAGGAAGCAACCCCCCGCCCTCATGTGGGGGGGGAGCTTCCTTGAAATAGCGTGAGCTATCCTGCGTCCTAACTCGGAGCTTCCTATTACGCTAGGAGCGTGTTTAGTCCCTTGCTTGAAAGTAGGCGCTCAATTAATTAAGGAGACAGGGCCACGGGCTAGAAGAAAGACCAACATCTGCACTGTGTGCTATCTTACCCTCGTGGCCTGATGCACGAAGACACTGATCATCTCTCGGATCTCAGGGTGAGCCTGAGTGAGTTTCAGCAAAACTAGTTATGCCTCCAACCTAAAGCAAAAGGAACCTAATAGGAATGGCCTCCAACCTAAGAGCGATGGCCTCCAACCTAATAGTTATGCATTCATAATAAATAACAAATCATTATGAGTTCCAGGTACTCGTTTATAAGCTACTAGTAACAAGTGCATCGCTACT